GAATTTTGAATAACCGCCATTTAAGGTAATATTTATTTTTATATTCTCCTTGGGTAATTTTCCGTTACACATCTTATCATATTTTGAATAAATTGATTGAACGATAATTGTTTTTTGAATTTTCCAAATTAGAAATACCATTTTAAGCAGCACGTAGTAGGTATTAATTCAAATAGTAAAATAAATACTCATAAATCATTATTCACGTCTCAATATTTAAGTGAATAATAGTCATTATTACCAGATAYCAGCTGATAGACTGGAGTTTGAAATAGTGAATAACTATAAACATTTAAACATTTAAATTAAATTATTTTTATTTTTCTAATAAACCATGGAGAATATTTTGCACGTGGAGGTCCTTTTACAAACCGATAAGTATGTACATTTTATATGAATATACATAATGTTTTTGTATTAGCTTTTAAGTATCCACCAACATTTAGTAAACAATTTGAAATTGGAAATATTAACAAGTTGTCTATTTGATTTGGTAACTTATCAATTAAGCATGAATACAAGGGTAGTAGGTAAAACAAATTAATATGAATTTATTATTAAAAACAAATGCATTTATAATATTGCTTGCATTTAGAATAAAATATTTTATTGATAAGTGTATTATTGGCTATTATTATGATTATGAACAATGTTATAGAGCTATCGAGATTCCTGAATTGGAAAAAGCTATCAGACTCGAATTAAAAAATATTGATCCAATTGTCCCAGATTCTATGCACACGACATTTGTCACTGAAGGATTATCCGAATTTGTAAAGTTTATACAAATTTGCGAAATAGAAAATTTACAAGATACTGAAAATGTTGAACAGATGGTGATAGAAGTAAGAACATCAATATTTATTTTATAAGTTTTAATCCTATAATAATTAAAAATAATTTACAGGCAGAACTTCATTCATTAGATTTAGATTCATATTTGATTAAAATCTATTTTTACAAATTAGATGATAGTGGTTTAGAAGACGATKCTACAACTGATGAGTCTACATGCAAAATGAGACGTTGTATATTACCCAATRTGGATTTTTGTGGTATCTGGGAATCATTGGTGTTTCAAGAACCGGTCAAAGAAATTGTAATCATACAAAATATTAATAAATAATAAGTAATATTTGGCATGTATAAATAGATAATTTATTTTAAAACTTGCTTGTTTTAGCTTTTACACTACGCACAGACAGGGATGAATTTTGCACGTCATAATGTAAACACTAATATTATTAGTTATAATAGATTAATCCTGCTACACGGTCCACCTGGTACTGGCAAGACATCTATCTGTAAAGCCCTTGCCCAAAAATTATCAATACGGTTGGGAAAACAGTACAATTTTTTTGAATTTATTGAAATCAATAGTCACAATTTATTGTCCAAATATTTYTCTGAAGTAAGAATTAATATTTTGAATAATTAATAAYGAACCATTTTCACCTTATGAATTAATTTTATCATAGAGTGGATCATTAGTAATGTCTATGTTCCAACAAATAAAAAGTGTTTTGGAGTATGGTGATTCATTGGTATTTATATTAATTGACGAAGTAGAGAGTTTAACACGTGCTCGAGATGCAGTGTTATCTGGTACTGAACCATCAGACTCTATAAGGGTTGTAAATGCTGTACTAACACAACTTGATAATTTAAGAAAGTAAACATAATGATTGATAATAGTTAAATAAATATTTGTTGTTGCTTATTTGTTTGTTGTGATATCTTTTAAAGGTATCCAAATGTTATATTTTTAACAACATCAAATGTGACAGAAGCCATCGATACTGCATTTACTGATAGAGCTGATATAAAAATGCTCATCAACCCTCCTCAAGAAATGGCAATCTACACTATACTTAAAGCAGCTATTGAAGAACTTATCAAAGTAAAGATCATTGTTAAAATGCATTAAATATGTATATATATACATATTATATATATTTAAAATGTTTTACTTAAAAATTAGGTGAAACTAATTATAAATGTAACAGAACAAGATAAATTTGATCGTCTTCCTAATATTAATGCTRARCAAAAAGAAGTTCTCAATACAACGCAAAAATTACATCAAATTTCCAAGTACAAAAAAAAAAATAAACTTATTTATGATATACTTTTAAATAAGTAAAAAATAAATATTGATTTTTCTGTTATTTTATATTTTAGGGAAAGTATTGGTTTGAGTGGACGTGTTCTAAAAAAAATTACTTTTATAGCACATTCTATATACATAAGGCAACCACAATGTGATGGTGTTCATCAGTTTTTAGAAGCCTTACATAAAGCAGTGAAGTATCAAAAAGCACAAGATGCTGGCCTAACTAAAATTAAATAGTTAAACATTTTTTACATTATTGTACACTACAATTCTGTTTTTTTTTTTTTGGTAATTTGTAATATTATATCTTAAATAGTTTTATTCTAATGAAATTTAAATATATAAAATGTAAAATATAGAATATACAAATAAAAATAAAATTTTACCAATTATATTGACAAACTAAATTAAATAGACCAATACAGTGGTCACCCCTTATTGGACTCTAGGTTAATTGTCTCATTTGCCTATTAGACTCAAAACGGCTGGTGCCGATTTACACATATACTAACATCTATTCGACACACACYGGTTAATAGGGTCATTTGAAAATTAGATAAATAAAAAAAATATGTACATACTATGTGGTAAAATATAGTCAAAACGGCCAAAATAGAATGTGCTGGTGATGGTGATRAAGAGGAACCTGATGAGAAACCACCATCAACTAAACAAATGATAGAAGCACTTCAAATTTTACGTAGAGGAATTCGGCAAAGAGGCAATTTTGACGTTTTCTAGCAACATAAATCCTACGAAAATGAAGAAGGGAAAATCCAATCAACCCAAGATGGATTTTTATCAAAAAATTAATTAAATTTTACATACCTTCATGTTATTTTATTTTTAAATGCGTATAGGCCGTATAGCTAGGTTTTCATTTTTATACATACCTTAAATCTCAATACATATTTTTTAAGTAAATTAGTTTTTAAATTTAAACATTTKCAAAAAAATGTTTGGGTCATTTGCCTTAATGACTATTCGGTTAATGGACTCGAAAATGAGCAGGTGCCAAAGTGAGTCCAATAAGCGTTGACCACTGTGTTTATTAAATATTAATTAATAATTAATTGAGTCTTATTGTTATAAGCATCTTAATTGGTCACTATCAGGGCTGAATTTAATAAATTCAATTCACCAAACTTTCTGTCCATGTTCAATTCTTAACATATTTTTGGGTAGCGACCCTTCATAATTTGAATGACCCAAAATTGTCATCGTCCACCAAGTTCTATATTTGGTAACTTGTCAGACAAATCCAGCCCGGGTCACTATCTACATTGGTAACTGTAGATAGTTATATTTGRTGTGCACCCTTGAAAGATGCAATTAATTGCTTGATAGTTGATTTACATCTCCGCAACAATAGGTAATATTTGAATCTAGTACAGCTATGTAAATGAGAAGACMTATAAGTGGAATYATAAGTTTATTGTTGGAAATAAAAGTATTGATATTATAGGTATATTATATTATAAGTAGGGCTCAGAATTATAATGCTCTATAATCATTTATGTGATTATATTGTCATTAAAATATGCTATTGTAAAGTAAAAATAATTAAATAAATAAAATTAAATTCTGTTAAAACATTTTAATATTAAAATAGTAGGTATTAATTAAACAATGTATAATATCCCATTTTCATATTAAATCAAATTATAAAACTATGGAGTATAAAATAATAGGTATGTATCTGTTTTGTAATCAGTGTAGCAAATGTATTAAACAAGTTATACTCTATTTTAATCAAAATTTCACTCATCTAAGTATAATATATGTTAATAAATTTATGAATAAGAATCAATTTTAAGAGAAATTATAGATTGCTAAATTGCTTAAATATTTTTCTTATTATGCTAGTTATCTAAGTAGTTGCAGTTGACAATTAAAAAATCCAGTATGTTCGATAAATTTGAGGCCAATATCGGCAATATCTGTTCAGTTTGAATTTAATTTATATTTCCAAATCTCAACAACTTTGGTTAGATGTTGTTACCTCCACCTCATTCCCACAAAAAATTCAGTGAAATAAACAGCTACGTATTTTACTGATTTTTAGAGGTTTAAAAACGCATAAGTTTGTTTTAGGCTTAGGTGTTGATTTTATTTTTAGAATCCATACATACAAAATTCAAGCTGAGATAGAAATTAACTATCTGTATTTTATTACAATAACACAAAAAATGTTATGTTAGAAAACAAATTTAGTATATTTAGTACTGATTTTGAATGAGGAAAAACAAAATTCTTTTATCATACGTTTATTTCAGAAACTTGTACATTTAAACAATAACTACAAATTATTGACTTATCATTCATCCAATGCCTTTACTAAACCAAGCATTCTGTCATAATCTATAGGCCTTTTGAATCTTTCTCTTAGGATAATAGACTTGTGCCCAGCTAGTCGATAATACTCTTTGTGCCAAGGAATAAAAGCATTTATACTATCCGGTAATTTAATAGCCGTTTCAAATGTGCATGTTATATTTTTCCATGGTAAAAGTGGATTTATGTACACGCCCACGTACTGTCTTTTTGTGTTGTGCCTGTAAATYCTTAATACATATTTAGAAATAAAATTATATGACACTATTTTTAGAAGAAACAATGTCGGAATCATTATCATAAGTTCCAATGTTGAGTTTGGTATAAATAATATATCTAAATACGTCTGTAAATCAATTTTTCCTAATGTGAATAACATATAGAAATAGGCAATAATAAAAGTTGATGGCAGGACTATAATGGTAGCAATTACAATTCCACTCAAACAGCGTGCATACGTTTCACCGGTGCCATTGTAAATGAGTTCATACTCTGATGGTGAAACCCTGTCTTGAGCGGCTTTTTTATTGTACACATCGTAAATRGGTTTTAAGTCCATCTTTTTCATAAAACAGCGATCCGGCACCAAATATCCAGACAATCGATTGGAAGGTAGTAGCATGCGATTGTTGTGATTTACTGAAGTTTTTAAATCCAATGTATAAGACCGTTTCACTGAAGAAAATATCGAAGAGTTAACACTTCTCCGGAGACAATAATTAAAAATATACATCTTAGTGTTAGTATTTAACAATCAGACGCGAACAAAGGTATTATTAATTATTTGTTTTAATACAAATTTAAATTTAAAATGACATCAAATTGATACGAGTTATAGAGGTATATAATATAATTTTTTATTGCGTATTATAATAAAATATAAATATCTACAGAATTCAATGATTCAATAATTGAAAGATATAACAACTACAAACTTATATTAAACGTGTTTACAAGTCGTTAATAAGCAGCTCTTTTGAAGTTGAGGACGAACAACATTTATCATTAGTGTAAAACYACAGAATATATGAAATGTATAATACATAATATATAATATTTATATTTATAAATTACATTCTGTGGTAAAACTATAAACAGTATAAACACTGAAAACAATAACACATTACAACTTTACATTTTACAGTCAACAGTACAATTACAACATTTTTTAGTACAAAACACTACAGGAATATATTTTGACATTGATAGTTGATAAGAATATGTGTATGAAATAAGAATGTAYGATGGGCATATTTGGGCAATATATACATGCCTATTCTTTTTTAACAAGATTGTTCTGTGATACCACCATAGAGGCATAGAGTGATACAAGACGTTCTGGTAATAACTGGTATAGACCGCCACGGTCACGCAATCACGGCGAACGGTTCGTGGCTAGTGCACAGAAAATTATCATTTATCATTTTGAATTTGTATCATTAATTTTATCAAAATTAGTTGGTTGTTGGTTGTAGCAATCTGTATTCTGACTATTCTGTAGTTGATAAACTTGTTAATCTTAATTATTGCTCATTTGCTCGACGCTCAACTTTACTACTCGAGTAGTGAGTAGTACTCACTGAGTACCCGCCTAACCGCCCGGAGGTACGTCGAGGTTCAAGCCGTTCAAGGGTCTGTTAGCAAAAACAAAATATAAAAATGCCGAATACCCGTTACACACACGCTGTGGTAAATCGTTTGCCACGATCGTTGAGAGACCGACAGCCGACATTGGACTACGATCGAGCCAAACGGCAACACGAAAACTACGTTAAAGCCCTGCGAGATGTTGGTCTTGATGTGATCGAAATGCCAGCAGACGAGGATACACCGTGGTGTGTTTTTGTTGACGACACGGCATTCGTGTGTAACGGCACGGCRATCATCACAAAGCCCGCAGAGCCCGAGAGAGCAAAAGAAGTAAGTCTGTTAATTCATGAAAATCATTAAGTGGACGTACTCCTCGCATGTATCTCTATCTTACAAGTACTAACACTAAAAATTTATGTTTAGTAGTTTTAATATTAGAMTAAATATTTTCCTTATGACTAAATTTAAATGTAACCATATTTTCTAGGATTTGTTTTTTTTATTTTAAAATATTGAAGCGAGCAATGAGCATTTTTATTTATAATTTCAAATATGAAAAAAAGATCAACAAACCACAAATAATATTTAAATCTTAACTAGTTTAGAGATAATATTTTTTTTAAATTAACCTCAATTCACTGTACAGTAACAATAGTAAGATGGAAACAATGTATGCGGGTGAGACTTCAACAATATGTGATTTCTACTAAAACACATCAGGATCATACAACAGTTGAAATGATGAATATTAATTTAAACTAGGAAAATCTTATAGGCTTCATACAGCACCAATATAAATTATTAACAACTAAATTGATCATAACATTCATTTTTTATTACTCTAGAATGAAGTATCTACATTTAATATATCCACATTGTTCTTAAACAATAAGTGTTTGAAATGCTTCAGGTTGAAGCAGTAAGAGCGGTGTTGAAGAAAGAAATTGGATTGCCTATTGTTGAGATATCTGATAAATCTGCAAAATTACATGGAAGCGATATATTATTTACAGGTAAAAAATATATGACATTAATATTAGTATCTTTATATAATTATTATAAACTGCTAATTAGGTGATGCAGTAGAATTTTCTCAAAGATAATTAAAATATGAATTGTGTCATATTCTTATTAAACGTATTATACTTTGTAGATAATAAAGCAATATCTCTTAAGCGTCTTCATCAATAGTCATTTCATTTCATATCATTCATTTTAAAAGGCAATTAAAATTTAATATGAATTAAAAATATGACGTATAATTTTTAAATATATTTCTACATGTTCTTAGTAATATAATTATTTGTTTTAGCATTTTTCTGATACATTATCAATTTTTGCCTAATTCAGTTTTAAATTGGTCATTATTAATGATATCATACCAAGAAACTATTTATATGAATATGTCAGTGTTAGTTTAAACTTTTGAATTTATCACCCACATTTAATTATAAAAATATCATTGTTTGTAGGTCGAGAATTCTTTATTGGAATAACAAAATGGACTAATGAATCAGGAGCATGTGCAGTTGCTTCTGCTTTTCCTGAATATCCTTGTACTCCAATTAAGGTTAGAAAGTATTCAATGATTTCATAGTATTATACATTTAAATAGATAGCACAGCTTAAAGGATAATTAACGCAAGTAAAGTTATTTAACAGGTTACAGAAAATAAACATCTAAAAACAATTGTGTCAATGGCGGGACCAGATCTTATATGTGTGGGCTCWAGTGATTCTTCAAAAAATGTTTTGAAGGTGATTTAACATAATATTTTTACTAACAAGTTAATAATTAATATTTTTTCATAATATTTAGAGATTAGAAAGAGAAGCTACTTATAGCTACCAAGTTCTTACATTACCTGAAGATGAAGCTGCTAATGTTATGTATATTAATGGTACATTATTACATCGGTCAGCCAAAGAAATACCATTATCATTCAGTGTAATACATTTATTTATTACTTATCATTTTTTCCAAATATTTATAAATATTAAATATATGAAATAATTATTCTAGGTTCTAATGGAGAAAATTACTGATTTTACTCTTCAAGCAATAGATATTTCTGAACTTCTAAAATGTGAAGGAGCTAACTTAAATTCATGTTGCCTTTTAGTCAGACGTACAAAACATATTCGAAGCTTATAATTTGCTATTAAGTTATACAATTCATTCCACTATATCAGTATTATAAATTTATAAATAACACTTCTCATGACCAACATATTTATATATACACACATAATCACATAAATAATGTTCTAAATTCTAATAATTAATAATTGTTAGTATGTTTTCATGATAGCTTATGTGTTTTTAAAAACGTAATATGTACTAAGATTGAATCTTAACATAATATTTTAGTTAATTTGTTCCTTATAAGAATCATTAGATCTGATTTTATGGCTACAATTAAGCATAGCATTTGAATTAATATAATTTAAATATTTATTAACTTGCAATATTAAATATTTTATAAACTAAAAATAAGAATGTAATTATTATTGCGGTTTTTCTTATTTTATTTTCTTAACACATTTTTCTTCACCTCATTGATCAATTTATTATTCAGAAATAACTTAAAACTAATATATTGACTACCAATATAAATAAATGAAAATTGGTACTATGATTAATTAATAGTAGGTAAATAYCCATACATTCCTACTTGTTGCTTAATGAAAATAGAAAATACCTCAAGTCTATTAATAGCGTTGYATTCCAGTAAACTTTTATATTCTGAGCAGATCGATAAATGTATTAATTTTACCAYGATGTCTGTTATGACCCTTTTAAGAAAGTAAAATGCTTTGATTTTTTTCAACCACATATTTTCTAGTAGAAAAGTGAATCTCTGGTACTAAGGGGAGCAAAAGTAAAGTTTTCAATAGTGGCAGGAAAAACAAACAAAAAATTAAGTAAAAACTAAAAACTAATATTTTTAAACAAGACCGGATTTCAAAAAATCAATTTTTATTGTAAGTTCAACTCTAAAAAAATAACCACTAACTAAAAATTGTATTGAACCTCTATGCACCATAACGTTTTTCAAATATTGCGACCATTTGAAATGTTCACATGTAAATTAACTAAATCTCACAATTCTCACTTATACATAAATTTATATTTTCAACTAATGTTTTGTAAATGATAACTAATATTCATWATTTTAAACATACATCATACAAAAAGCAGAGCTTACTTCTCTTGCATAGTATGTTTGAATTCAATAAATTGTSGATATATGAAAGAATATTTTGGAAAAGATATTCAAACTTAATAAAATTGTGTTCATTTCTTTTCAATATTTATAAACTTGTGGTTTATAAATTGAGATGGTACCTATGACATTTTAAATATAAAATAATTTGTGCATTTTCGGAATTAAAGTATTAAAGAAATCAAAATTTAATCATTTTATGACATTCGAAAACAGAATATTAGGAGAAGCTAGAAGTTTTTATTCGTCACGTTTGAAGTAGTTACTTCCCCCCATCCACCAATCATAATAAAACCTGATTTTACCTATGGACCATAGGAAAAATCCTGATATCTCCACAGATCTATTTGCCTCTGTACAATATCATACGAAACATATTCTATTAAGTATAATTTTCAGAAGTAAGTACATAGGTTATGTACTTATTATGGTATACTCCTAATAAATTTTCTTTAGGCGCTCCTTATTTGTTCTGGATAAATATTTTTACCCACCTTCCACTACAAAAAAAAATTATAGGTGATTCAAATACACCAACTTATAAAACTACAAGCTCAACACTACTAGCGGAAAATTAAGTTGAACTATTTTTTAATAATTATCAATAATCAACAACGATATAATATAAAGATAACATAGTATTATTAATATTACACACATTATATTTATAAACAGCATTGTAGAAATTAAAAAAAGGACAATTAATAATCTTGGTTTCCTAGATACACAGCATTCAAATTTATTATTTAAACAATAGTTGGAAAGTTGGGATGTGATAACTAAACAAAATATTTAAATATTGAATAATATGTGATATTTTCAATCATTGTGAATTTGATGGTTAGTTTTTATAAATATATATATATATATAAATGTAKGTTATTTTTAAAGGTTAGATATTAAAATCTTATATTTCATTTTTACTTTTTTTAAATTGGTATTTAAGTAGTATACCTACGAGACATTTGAATCGAAAGTGGTGTCGTGATCTCTTAAATTAAATTAAATCAAGCGAACAATGGGGGTGGCTCTATTCATCAAAATCTCATGACCTGATGACCTGTCAACTTTTATCTATTATTCTCATTGAGTCAAGTATAGTTAGTGATACAGRTTGTTTATTTCTTGTCAAAATAAAAATAAAAAGTAAGTATACAAGTTATATACAATTACCTTGGAAAAATGTATTTATTTCTTTTCTTTGTCYGATGACGCCACTTCTTCAGTGATGGGTTTAGCACTACTAAAATTCGGAAATTGTTCCCATGGAGTAGAAAGCTCAAAACGTCTGAATTCTTGTGACATCTCCAATGGCTCTACCACAACTCTCCTTTTTTCATCATCATACCTTACCTAAAACAAAGTTTWTTTAAAGTTAAAATTATCCTTTTTTATCTAAAAACTATCAAATTACTTCTACATATCCAGACAATGGAAAATCTTTACGGAATGGATGACCTTCAAATCCATAATCAGTAAGAATTCTTCTTAAATCTGGATGATTAGTGAAAAAAACTCCAAACATATCCCAAATCTCTCTTTCGTACCAATTAGCTCCTTCATAAATTGATGTAATGGAATCAATTGGTGTTAACTCATCAGTATAAGTCTTAACACGTAAGCGAGTATTGAATCGAAGTGACAACAGATTGTAAACAATCTARATTATATAAAAAAAATATATTTCATTCATTGTAATAAACAATATTTTTCTAATAATTTGATTATTTTTATAGCAACAACACTAATAACTAATATCCAGATTCATAAGTATTTAAAGTTAAAACTAATTTACATTATATACTAAAAAACCGGAGAAATCACTTTGTTAAGTATGTATGTGTTTAGAGGAATCGCTGTAACAAATGTGTCACTTATGAATTCAATGATAAAAAGTCATTTAAAAAATAAATGTCGTTTAAGGAAAAACGATTCTAAGGGAAGACAATCTGTCAGTCTATAATCTAACCAATATTATTATGATAATATTGTTATTAAATAATTCATTAAACTATTGAAGATTAGTAAAAGTAGATGAAAATTTTATTGCACTTATATGCACAATATAATAATGTACTTTAAAATTTTGAAGTTTATGTATCCAAAAATGACATTTTAAATAACAACAAAATAACTAAAATCGTTGTTCTATGTATACAAYTTTTAACTTTAAATGCTTATAATAATAAATTGTACCTATRACTAAAATATCCAAATTTCCAAATCTATAAATACCTCAAAGAGATTCAAAATAATTTGAAGTATCTACACCTATAAATCTTAAATTAACATCCTAAAAACTTATTAAATTTTGACAAAAACTGATTTCRTGTAAAAATCAGTTTTTCCTAATTTCTTTTGTTTTTATTGACACTTAAAAACTACTATGAATTTTTAAATTTTACTTCTCAACAGTATAAATAAGATTCACTTTCCTATCAGATAAGATCCTGATATAAAGATTAAAGCATTGTTTCTACTACATAAATATTTTTTTTTCTTTATTTATATATACACAATCTGTAGTTCCTAAAAGGTACAATAAGAGTATTTGCTATAAGTTTAATTAGTAACATGAGAATTTGATAAAAGAAGCCACCCAATGATGACACTTTTAGTTTTGAATTAATATTTTAAACAAAAAAAAATTTTTTTTTCTTACATAAATATCAGAGAAAAATACACATTATTGAAAAATAAATACCTACAATCATCTGAATGCTTTGAAAACTAATTTTAATATTTTTGATTTGGGTAGTTGAGTGTTAATTTTGATTTCAAAAATAAAAATTACATAATTTATTTACACTAATATAAAATGTATCATAACCTAACCAAGGGGTTTAGAGTTTCTGGGTTTGGTTATACCCCTTTGGATTTTATTTTTACAAGTATATATATACCAATTTTTGAATGTTTTGAATTTTCTGTTATAACAAGTATGGACACCCCCCCCCTTCCCCAACCAAAAAATCTTAGTTGCTCAAATATAGATGTCAACCAATCCTTAAGTTTTACTAATTAAAACACTAAATACTAAAATATGACACTTAAACAAATAAATCCAAAAATAATATTAAATAGTTACCTCAAATCTATTTGAACGTTGAGGAACATCTACAGCGCATATATCAGATAAATTAGCAAACTGGCAATTTGTTTGATTTTTTAAAAAATGAAATACTGGTAAGACACCATCTGGTGCTATCAGTAATTCTAATTCATTTCTAGAACTTATTTGAATTTTTTGAATATACTTAGGTAAACATTCAGCAACAAAATTTCCAAATTCAAGGTATTGTTCTGGTACTGACTCAAATTTTTGTTTTGGTACCACTACAAAAAAAAAAAAAACAATTAATTATTAATAGAATTCTACAATCTATGTTTATATTCTATTGATAGAAATTGCATTTTTTTCTTCTGTAGAACCTGTTCTGAATACAGATCATAGACATCAAGATTTCAAAAAATCATTATGTGCTCKAAGTAAAAAACTACTCTCCTACATTATAAACTTTTTTTCTTATAAACATAATATTAGGATTTAATACTATATTTTTTGAATATAAGACAATTTTAATAAAATGATAATTTTTAACATATTATACATACAATAATAATTTTAATTCTAATGTAATATGTAATACCTATGGGTGCCTTTACATTTTATAAGAGGTAGGTAAGTTCAATTAAACTTTAGAAATTACAGTGTAAAATGTATTAAGGTAAACGTAAAATTTGCCATGTTGTATGTTAGTAAGAAAGATACAACAGAAGCCCAAGTGGCATCTTAAGAAAAATAATATAATTTACAGTTTTGATGATATCTTTGAATTAAACCATTTTTTATAGTTATTTATAACACTTAAAATCTTAAATTTAATTAAAATTAATACAACCAAATTATATCAATCCACTGTATTAATAAGAATCCAAAACAATTAATAAGCCACCAACATTGAGTAGATTACATATTTTTTCACACTGGTAAACATCAATAAAACTGTATATACATACACAATTTTATTCCT